CTAGGATTGGTCGGGAGCGTGATAGTAATAACGCACAGGATAATGCACAAGACAATCTTATGCAATCCCCTTCTATGCATACTAGGGATGTCCCAATACCACTTTTTCAAGACCAAGTACAAGTACAAGTACCTCACCTCATGTACTTGCTGATACCAATTACCGATACTTTTTCTTAAAGGGACAGGTGACATTTTAAAAAAAAAAACATTGCAGACTAATGATTTTAGGCCAATTTCTTTACGATTATGAAGAACTTTAATTTAAGACTGTTTTAGGACAATAAAACATTTGTATTTGCTTTCACACAGCTGTCGTGAAACTACAAATCCGATCATGCATGTCCCTCTGGGATCATTTAACCTATTCATGTTAGCAGGGGAGAAATGTAACTCTATTACTGCAGTGTACTGGAAGTGTGTACTATGGATCATTTAACCTGGTACACACTTCCAGTACACTGCAGTAATAGAGTTACAATTCTCCCCTGCTAACATGAATAGGTTAAATGATCCATAATACAACTACATGTTATGTACTATGGATCATAATTTAACCTATTCATGTTAGCAGGTGAGAATTGTAACTCTATTGGTGTAGTGTAGTGGAGGTGTGTGCTGTATATATGTACTACATATACGGTACACACTGCAGCAATAGATTTACAATTTTCCTTGACTAACATGAATGGGTTAAATGATCCGTAGTACAATTACATGTTATGTACTATTATGTACTATGGATCATTTAATCCATTCATATAAGCAGGGGATAATAGTAAATCTATTGCTGCAGTGTTTCACCTTGTATAAAGCTGCCCTCCTAAAATATAATTCCTCCCTTCGTGCTGCTAAACAGACTTATTTTGTTACTCTCATTAACACACGCTCATCCAAACCTCGTCAACTCTTTTCCACTTTTAACTCTCTACTATGTCCCCCACCACCTACTAACTCGCTGACTGCCCAGGACATTGCCACTCATTTCAAAAACAAAATAGATACAGTCACCTTCCCCTATTCATGTTCCAGACCCTCCATCACTCTCCTCTTTTGACCCGGTCACCACAGAGGAGGTTACAAAGCTGCTCTCTGACACCCACCTCACCACTTGCCCCCTGTACCCTGTTCCCTCACCACTACTTCGGTCACCCTCATACTCTATCCTACACTCTCTTACTCACATTTTAAATCTTTCCCTCTCTACTGGATTCTTTCCCTCCCCTCTAAAGCATGCCCTGGTCATCCCAATACCCAAAAAACCATCAATGGACCCTACCGACCTTAACAATCTCAGACCAATCTCCTTACTCCCATTCACCTCCAAACTCATAGAAAGCCTAATCTACAGCCGCCTGAGCCGCCACCTCGCAGATAACAACCTTCTCGATCCCTTACAGCCCGGCTTTCGCCCCCTACACTCCACTGAAACCGCCCTCCTAAAACTCACTAATGACTTAATAACAGCTAAACACAATGGCCCCTATAACCTCACAAGACCTCTTGCTTTCCAGCTCCGTCATCAACTCCTCCCATTGCAGACCTGCAGACAATAATGTACTATTTTCCCCTGCTAATTCTTACTATTTTCCCCTGCGTTCTTATAAGGGACCCCAGGCCCTCACTCACTGTTGCCTCGCTGGTGAGGTTGCGCTGTGTGGGAGAGCAGCGGCGAGTTGGCACTAGTCTGGTGGGAGGAGCTCCAGATGGGGTCCTAATCTAGCTGGCCTGCGACTGCCCACAGGTCCTCTGGGCAGTCGCCGGTGTTCTGTCGACACTGAGAACTCATCGACCTCGCGAACCTCTGACGTCGCATCCGGGTACTGCCAGTAGGTCAGCTACACATAAGGACCTTCCGTGCATGCGTTGCCACTCACCGAGCCTTACACCCCCCCCACACTGCACCTGCGTCCCTTTCTCACGGCTATTAACTCATGCACGGAAGGTCCTTATGTGTAGCTGACCTACTGGCAGTACCCGGATGCAACGTCAGAGGTTCGCGAGGTCGATGAGTTCTCAGTGTCGACAGAACAGGACCAGCACCGACAGAGAGCTCCTCCCACCGGACCAGGGCCGACTCGCCGCTGCTCTCCCAGTAAGTAAAAAAAAAAAAATCATAGCGCAAGCTACAGCGCTATGTACCGGAGCATTTTGACAAGTACAAGTACTTGTCAAAATGCCCTGTATCGGGAGAAGTGGGAAGCATATAAACAGACAGAGAAATGTAGGAGATTGGTAAAGAACGATAGGGAAGAAAGGAAGATAGATGTAGGTGAAGTACCCCCAGAGCTAGGAATGCACCGATACTGATACTAGTATCGATATCGGTGCCGATTCCGAGTATTTGGGCAAGTACTCGTACTCGCCCAAATGCTCCGATGCCTAGCACGAGTACTTCCGGTATCAGGAAGCCGGGCAGTGCGTCATTACACGCTGCCCGGTTTTGCGATTGACAGGGAAGCGGCTCTATGCTGTGATGAGAGAGCATGGAGCCGACTTCCCGACCAATCAGGAAGCCGGACCAGAGCCATAGAAACTATAAGTAAATATACACACAGACTAAACGATAGCTAGATAGTACACAGAGAGGTATAAATAAATAACATATTGGGATTTCTTCTTAATAGTTTTTATAACATTAGACCTGTGCAGTATGGAAGAATAGAGGGGAAGGGGGTTGGGATGGTGAGGAGGGTAGCCGGGGGTTAGGGATAAGGGTTAATCACGTAATTAAAGTAGAAAGGACTTATTATAGACACAGTAGTATAAATCACATATAAGGAGAGATCACAAGGTAGTGCGAGGAATATTTATAAAGCTTGGTTTGAGAGGGCAAGTTGGTCATAGGACATGTTTGAGGAAAAACACTGAAGGGTTTCACATGGAATTTATAACCTCTCCCCCTCCCTTCCCAGAAGAAGGTTTGGTAGTAGATTAAATGTGAGAGGAGCGTAGAAGAGTAGATAGGGATATGAGGTTGAGTAATGTAAAATGAATAAATAATATATGTAAGATAGTAGAAACAATGAAGTTGATATTTATATGGCGAGATGTTTAGTCCATGATATGTATAAGAGTAAATTATGTTGAAATATTTCTACTTCTTTTTTTATATGTATGTATAAATGTGTTTATGTGAGAAAAATAATAAAAATTCTATTAAACTAAAAAAGTTGACAGTTATCTAGAAGTATGCGTTTGTAGATTGTCATTACTAAACATTTCCAAAAGGTGCGTTTGTTGCTATTTTAAAGAACACAGTGAATCGGAAAAGAAGAATTATGGCTAAAAGATAGAGCCAAGGATCATAGAAAATAAATACATGTTAGAAAGGAGATATAAGGTTATAATTTGCTGGAGAGAATGAGCATATAACTGTAACCATTGCTACTACAGGGATAGCAATGGTTACATTCCGATGCTTATTCTCTCCTGCATCCTCTCGAATTGTAAAATTGTAATCTCAGCTGGTTAACTTAGACTGAACGAATGTACCCGCAGTTCCACTAGACAAGGGGCTATGCAAATGGTTTTTTTTAAATAGATAGACCCTAATGTGTTGTTCAGCCCCCCTCATACTATCTACATCTTTGTCAGCATCAGGGCACAGAGGATATCTGTAGGGCTGTAAGACGGGTGAGCCGAGTGACACACTCCCCTTGTGCACACCTGTGAGGGGGCGCAGCCAGGACTGGCCTGGTTGCGCCCCCTCACTCCTGTCGTCATGGCGAGCACAGGCAGCCAACACAGCTTGGCCTCCTGGCAGCAGAGGAGCCGCACAGCCTGCAGCTTCTCCTCGGATCCCTGCTGCTCTCCCCTGCCTGTATGGGCAGAGGCAGCAGGGATCCAAGAAGAAATGGAGCGCTGAAGGGGGGCAGAGGAGGGAGCTGCTGTCACTTCAGGATGGGCGAGTGGTGAGGGAAGAGAGAGCCCCTCAGCCAGGATCTAACAACCGGCGGCTTTCTCTCTCCTCACCGCTCGGCCATCCTGAAGTGACATCGCTCCCTCCGCGGATCCAAGCTCACTCCCGTGATGGACTGCAATCTCACGGTTATCGTACTAATTTGTATTGGTCCCCGTGTGAGTTGTAAAGTAGCCACCACCCCAAACTCGCTCCTGTGATGGACTACAACCTCAATACAAATCACTAAACTAAACATGAGATTGTAGTCCATCACAGGAGTGATCTTGGAGCGGTGACTACTTTACAACACACACAGGGACCATGGGGAACAAAAGTAGTCACCCTCCAGAAGGAAGGACAGTGTCAGCACCAATTCAGAGATGATTTGAGGATCTACAGCTGAGTGATACACAAATAAGATACATTTTTGTTAACAGTTACGGTACTTGAATGTATTGTTAAGATTTAACTCCGGAGTTTAGCATCACTTTAATGTTTGTAGAGTAATTCTAGGCTGAACATCCACTTTTCGGAATCTTCCAATTCGCTTCACTATTTTACTACCAAAAAATAATAAAAGCTACAGCACACACATACACTGATTACTAAATTAAATAATCTACACACCATCTAAGTACACAAAACAAAAACACACACACTGTTAATAAAGGGGGAAAAGCAAGATGTTTTTTTTGGGGGGGTGGGGGGGGGTGCTA